CGCGTCCTGGATGGTATATATCACGATCTATAATCCTTGAAAGTTTCATTTTGATATCTTTTACCGTTTTTGAGTTTAATCGCGGACAAAATGTCATTTTAATTTCAGGAAATTGTCCGTAACTTGGCACCGGAAGCAAATTTCCAAAAAATCTCCCGGATATATAAAATTCATGCTTTGACACATCATTTCTGAAAATTTCACGTCATTTCATCCAGTAGTCTTCGAGAAATCGCGTGCACAAAATTAAAAAGTCAAAAAAATAATAAAAAGAATAATAAGAAACAGTAGAATCACTATAAGGTCTTCCGTGAAGACGGAAGACCTTAATAAGAAACAATAGAATAACTATAAGGTCTTCCGTGAAGACGGAAGACCTTAACTAGAAAGTCTGCTATTGCAAGCAATAGCATATGTCGCCCCGTATTGGACAAGACTTTCATTTTTATCATCACTAAAACAATGGTCCATTAGCTAAGCTTGGACAACCATCCAGTCGTATCAGTTCTTTCTGTTGGAAACGGAAGACCTTAATTAGGTACATCCCACTCATTATTTTTTGAATCTGTAGGAGAAGAAAGTAGTGCAGGAAAAAAAATTACAAGTCCCAAATTGCAGACTTGCATAAAAGAAATTGGGCAGATGTACTGAACTGAGCCTCATACTTGTTAAATGGCAGTATTTTTCCTACCAAAAAAGCTTGGCAAATATTATTTATTAAGAAGATCAGCCGAATTATTTTGTGTATTATAACGCCAGTGAGAACTCAGAAATTTCCCTACTTTCACTTTAATTTTTAGAGGTTCTGCCGGAAAACGAATCTGACATGCCACCTTCAATTCGAGCATTTCTGCATTGTACAGGGCTGATGTTTCTTATGAGATGATAAATCATGTGTAAACTTTCTCAGTTTAGCGGAATCATGAACATTTTCGGCGAGATGAATGTTTTGTTTACAGTAGTGATCAAAGCTTAGCGCACCTGTAAGGAGCGGATCCAAAGATTTATGAATGAATAAAAACTATGGAAATAACGTACCAATTTTCTAATTTATTCTTGCACTATTTAATGAAATTAATAATATACAAGTAATAGATATAATACCAAAAAAAGCGAAATGCTAATAAATGCAGTTGACAATCGTTATTTTTTTTATATAGAAAAAATAAAATATTACACTAATTATAAAATCTAGAGACAAGACAGAAGAAGAATGACTGTTGGCAAACTATCAAATCACATCAGGAGAACTGAATTTTATGAATGAAACTTTTAAAACGTTACTTGTAAATTGTATATGTTATATCTGTGTATTCTACCTGCCAGTGCGCTTCAAAAAGGGGGGGGGGTCGTCTTGAACATAGTACCTTACGTTTGAACAGTAAGGGCTAGGGCTTTCGTATTTCAAATATGTAATCCTTGTGAAAAGAACTTTTATTGGACACAAAGAACTTTAACCCTTTGACCTAGACCTTGGAGAACACATGTGTACATCTTAACCTTTTTTTCTGTTTCGTTTCTATGACAAGTGTGAGCGACTCATTACAATTATTTTAAAAGAAGAAATCACTTTGACACATTGCAAGGAATTAACATTGAAAGTTTCAAAACGATTGCTTGAGTAGTTATTGAGAAAATCGAAATTAAAGAATTTTAACATTTCCCTGGTTTCCATGGCAATAATCTATTATTTGAAAATTTTAAATGCGAGACGCACAACTACAGATACTAATCATTAAAATAAAAAGAGTTTCATGACGAACGTTTAAGGGACCAGAGAGAACACTCTCGGACAAAATTCGTCGCTTTTTACAGGTTTCCATGGCAACGGTAGACATATTGGAACTGAATGACCTCACTGCACAACTACAACCAGTGATCGTCCTTTGAGGAAAGTTTCAGGAAGATTGCCCCATCCATCTCCGAGAAACAGCCTGGATAAAAAAAACATGCGTACAATATCAATATGTCGTCCCCGACTTCGTTCGGGGCGACATAATAATAACTAGATGCGTTCTTGTTGCTGGTGCAACAAGCAGGTCTTCCGACCGACTTCTCTTTTGCGTTCTATGCTGTATCATCCCATAAAATAGATTTCATAATGTATTTTTACTTGTTTACGTTCATTTACAGTAGTTTCTCAACACAGATGGTGATTGTTCCAGGTATTTCACAAAATTTCTCCAAATATAGCTTTTAAAAATCGGCAAAATGTTCCACACATGTTATAAAAGATTGAAAAGTAATTTGCAACTGAAAAAAGACAAAAAGAAAGAAAAAATTTGGGGAACGCCCCGAGCGGGATTCGAACCCCCGACAGTAAGACAAAGTTTGGTTCGGTCATATCTTTGCAATAAACACACGCATGAAGAAAATGAAAACATAAATAGATATCTTTGAAGACGCTCTATAAACCCTGTAAATCCGAAAGAAAAATATTGAAAAACAAAAAAGTTGAAAATTTGGACTTTTTGAATTCACTTCCGTTTGCGACCGGAAGTAGGAACGACAAAAAATGAAGGACGTTCGGCACATCTACATGTGATGTTCTTTCATGTCCATAAGTTTCATTGTCATATCTTTAGCCGTTTTTGAGAAAAGTAGTGTACAAAAATTCATTTAAAAAATACAAATTTCCCCCAAAAATCGCGAACGGAAGAAAATTTTGAAAAAATGAAAAACACGTCTGGAGATATTAACCTGGTGCATCTTTCCTGTAAAAATCTTTGAAATCCGTACAGTCACAGCTGAGATATCGCCATAAAAATGAAAAAAAGAATAATAATAATAACTAGATGCGTTCTTGTTGCTAAAGCAACAAGCAGGTCTTCCGACCGACTTCTCTTTAGCGTTCTATGCTGCGTCATCCCATGAAATAGATTTCATAATATATTTTTTTCGTTTACGTTCATTTACAGTAGTTTCTCAACACAGATCGTGATTGTTCCAATTATTTCACAAAATATCTCCATATATAGCTTTTGAAAATCGGCAAAATATTCCACACATGTTATAAAAGAGTAAAAAGTAATTTGCAACTGAAAAAAGACAAAAACAAAGAAAAAATTTGGGGAACGCCCCGAGCGGGATTCGAACCCCCGACAGTAAGACAAAGTTTGGTTCGGTCATATCTTTGCAATAAACGCACGCATGAAAAAAATGAAAACATATATAGATGTCTTTGAAGACGCTCTATAAACACTGCAAATCCGAAAGAAAAATATTGAAAAACAAAAAAGTTGAAAAATGAGACTTTAGTATTCACTTCCGTTTGCGACCGGAAGTAGGAACGACAGAAAATGAAGGACGTTCGGCACATTTACATGTGATGCTCTTTCATGTCCATGAATTTCAATGTCATATCTTTAGCCGTTTCTGAGAAAATTAGGTGACAAAAATCCATTTAAAAAATACAAATTTCCCCAAAAATCGCGAACGGAAGCGAATTTTGAAAAAATGAAAAACACGTCTGGAGATATTAACCTGATGCATTTGTCCTATAAAAATCTTTGAAATCCGTACATTCACAGCTGAGATATCGCCCTAACTATGAAAAAAGAATAATAATAATAGGAAACCGACGAATAACAATAAGGTCTTCCGAAGGAAGTCGGAAGACCTTAATAATAGGAAACCGACGGAAAACAATAAGGTCTTCCGAAGGAAGTCGGAAGACCTTAATAAGAAACCGAGTAAAAACAATATGTTCCCAAACTCCGTTTGGGGAACATAATAATAATAAGAACCAGAGTAAAAACAATATGTTCCCCAACTTCGTTTGGGGAACATAATAAAAGACTTCACAGCGATTGCTACTGACAGTTCTATAATTGAACTTTTAATGATTTAGATTATGCAAATGTTAATAATTAATTTGTACAAAATAAAAATCATTAAAAAAGAAAAAAAATAACTTGATCACAGAGAAAATGACTTCTTTTTGTCGTTATTTTGCCGCGAATTTAAAAATATTTGAGGTATTACGTATATCTATCATGTATATGAAAAGCGATATAAATAACTGCCAGATAAGAAAAAATAATATTATCTTTATATTTAAATATGCAGAGTGCAGTATATATACGCCTTCTAAATAACAATTATATCCATGACTAAGAGGTTAATATAAACTGTCACGCAAAATTGATAAAATATAAGTTTCGGTTTCATACTTGTACAGGATGATATGAGTCCCGAGAACACATGGCCATTTTAATGTATATCAGTTTTAGGATGCCTTAAACATGCATTATATTTGAATAATGCATGTTATTGTGCATAAATTTTTGATTATTGGATTTATTTATGTTCCCGTTAAGTAGTAATAAGATGATGATACATGTACTAGATGGCCAGGCCTGTATGACATAAAGAATATTGCTATTTTTAATTTTACTGTATTCTTTTTTATTGTCCTAATTTTGATATTATTCATCAATAACAATTATTTTGAATTATCGTAGTCTTACAGTCGAAAATAATAAACAGTTAACAATTTCATTGATCTCATACAGAAAACGACATTTACACTAGTCATACCAGAAATGGAAACATATGGGTAGAACGAGTAAGCCTCTGTGTTACTCGTACAAACCCGTAGTAAACATTATATACCATTCAGGTAGACTTGGTAATACATAGTCAAATGAAACACAAAAATGATGTATTTTCATTTACTATGCAACCTGTGGGGGTTGGGAGGATTTCGGTCTAACGACCTAGCAATCCAGGTTATCCATTGACATTTTTGTGTCTAGTTTTAAGAATCATGGAACATGAAAAATGTTTTAAAAGATATGACTATAAACAAACGATGCAGAAAGAAGGATAACAGTTTGTTAATTTTTAGTCACTTATGTAACACGGATCACCAAAAAGTAATACATTACAGAAGTACGTGTATAGGCTGATATTTCTGATATATATGAAACTGAAGTGAACAAAAATTAAAAATGACTTTAAATTAGAGGTACATAATTTATTTAAAATATACCATCGATGATAAAAATGCAAAAATATGTCGATAAAAACATTCTTGCAATAGAGTGTATCTATAGAATTAAATAGCATTCCACAATGCAAAACACGTCAACGTTACTTTCGTTTTACATATAAGGACACATCAATTCAAATATTCACAAGCACGTTACCATATCCTTCCAGGGGGATAAAGAAAAGTTGTCAATATAAGTGTTTCTTAGTGTGTTTATTTCCTTTTTAGATAAAACATAATGGTCCTTCTAGCGTCCTTGTTCGTCGGACAAGGATAAAACACACCGTTCCATATCAGCAGAGTTGTAAAAGATTTAACTCTTCTGTCCGAGCACCTGTCCAGAATTTTCGTTGGTCTTTGGGTCGGTTCACATGAATGTATTATGATCAGCATTAATTTTCCTTGAAATAATAAAAAATATAATATTTTTTAGATATGAAATAAAAGAAAAAGTAATTTTTCAGATACGAAAAAAATAAAAAGAGGATTTTCTTAAAATTATTATAAATGAATGAACTCTCTTACCTTTATATGAAATGTTTTCTAATGATGTATCAATTTCGTCCTTCAGTCGAGCGGAAGCGTAACAAACAACCAGGACTTGGGAATCGGGTTTGAGAGAATCCCTGTGATCTATGCTTTGTAATGCATACTCTGGAAATTCCTTGCCAAAATAGTTATCGAACAAATGACTTGATTTCTTTGAGTTTTGTATGCAAAAAACCTTCTCTGTAAAAATGAATCAAAGATTGCCTTTCAAGACGCCATTTTATTATTTTATGATATTTAAGGTAAATTAAAGATTGATTTCTCTTTTTTCATTTCTTTTTAATAATTTATTGCAAGAGTTGGTTAAGTGTTAAACGTAAAACAAATCGCAAGCAGGATGAATTCTTACTAGTATGCCTCATCTTTCTGCACCACAATCGCAGGAAACCTATTGTTCCAAGAACTGTCATTGCTATGTTTCTCCCTTTAAAAATAAGTAGATTGATTTGATGAAAATGAACCAAAATGGAACAAATGCAAATCAAAAACATTACACTATTCCAGTTACAATTGAATGAAAAATGAATAAAACAAATCGATGTGAACGTTACTAAAGCAATCAAAAAAATACGAACCTGAGAAAATTTTACAGATCAATCTACAGACAAAACCATATTGTGCTTGAATTCCTAAAGAAGAATAAATGACTGCGAGTGTTACCTCTCTATGATACATGAATGTAGACACTGTGTTACATTTTATTTTCTTATTCTACATTGTATATGAATTTTAATTAAAGTCATAATTACAGTGGACATCAATATCAATAGAATGCTTTTTTGAAGCAAATTAACTTGCTTAATAGAAAATTTGTTTAAATTGTTCTCAAAAGTAGAACGTAAATTATGCATGAAATCATCCATTTTGTTTGCCAGGGGCGTAGCATCCGGGGGGGAGGGGGGCAGGGGGGGGGCCCCCCCCCATTTTTTTCCCAACCTTACTTATACCATAGGAAATATCAATTTAAAGCCTGGTTGCCCCCCACCTTAGACTTTTAGCGATATGCCGAAAATGTAGTATTAAAATGGGTTCCAAAAAAAGTTCACCTATACCCCCCCCCCCCCCCCCACGAAATAGGATTATCGACTATGGGCAACTTTAACTTTTTCCTTTTTTTTTTTTGCTTGTCAACTTTTTCAGGGAAGTAAAAAAGAATTTTCTCTGGCTGGCCCCCCCCCCCCCACTTTCAAAAACGATGCTAGACCACTGTTTGCAAATAACGATTTTCTTTTTTCTTACCTAAATCAAAGATATATCCAGGGTGGAATAAATTATCAAATGAATAGAGATGGATTGGTATATCCATCTGAAACAAGCAAAAAAATAAAATGAATGCTAGGTATCTTACACATTTAAGTGAGAGTAAAGAATCGTTTTTGTTTCTAAACAATTAAAAATTTTCACAAAGATATAGATTTAAGGTAAAAATTTTATATTATTAAAAGATTTTTCGAAAATCTGTGATATCACAGGAGGATGGAAATACCTCTTTTACATTAATTTCGTATTTTAGTAAAATACAGGTCCATATTTCCTTGTTCTGAATAAGTTGTACAATGAATATATAAAACTTACAATATCATTATTTTTTAAACCTTTTAAACCTTTTTGTCATTCCTCATAACGATTGAGGAGTTCCATCGCAAAGTGCATACTTTATTTAATTTTGAGTGTTTCTAGTTTTGAATTTATTCATAGGTAACGTATCTAGATTTATATTGGATTGTACAAAAGAATACGGCTTTTGAACTCCCATCAACTCTCGGGCCGGTGTAACGACGAAAAGTGACCCCCGTAGAATATTGACCTGGGGGTCATTTTTCTACGTAGCAAAATGACCCAAGGTCAATATTCTACGACAGGTAGGGTCATTTTTCGACCATAGAAAAACATTCCAAACTAGTAATTCTAGTAACGACTCCACACACGTTGAAAAATGACCCCATAGAAATTTGACCCCTTGCATTTTTATACTAAAAAACCTTTTATCTGTGTCTCCTGATAATTTTTCATACTTTCAAATGTAAGTAGGGGGGATTTTTTATGTACTTTAATCCTTTCCAACATATATTTGATTGCATATCTTAATAGTAGCATCACAATCAATGTATCTGGTATGGATTTATTTTTGGCTTGCAGAATCCCAATGAAAAACTTCAAGAGTACTGTACAACAATATATTCAAGAAGTAGTGTGATTTAGATGTGGATACTCAAAAAGTCTAAAGAACTTTTGGACAATTTGAAATCACAAGATTTTTTCCAAAATCAACAGCTTAAAAACTTAGACTCTTCAAGTTTATACACAACCATACCCCGTGATAAATTAAAGTCCAGGCTATTTGATATCATTGACAGCTGCTTCCTCTATAAAATGGAACTCATAAATTTACTTATCTGGTCATTTGTCATTTGCAAAATTATTTTGAAAACACATTCTGATTGCACACACTAGTCCTCTGAAGTTGACATCAAAAAGATGCTTGAGTTTCTGATTGAAAAAATCTATGTGGTGTTTGGAGACCAGGTCTACCCACAATCTATTGGAATTCCTATGGGTACCAATTGCGCTCCGTTCTTAGCAGACCTATTTTGTATTCATATGAATCAGAATTTGTGCAAAGTCTTATACGTGAAAAGAAGAAAACACTTGCTGTGGCCTTCAACTCAACATTTAGATATATCGACGACGTATTGTCAATTAACTATAGCAATTTCCATTCCTACATCGATACGATATATTTGGTTAGCTTGAGATAAAAGATAATACAGAGTCTGACACATCTGTTTGGTCTGCTCCTATTTTGTATTGTTTTGTGGACTTTGATATTAAATACTGTTCATGATCTTCATATCCTTCTTCATTGAGGAGCATAAATTTATAATTAGATTTTTGGGTGTTTTTTTTTTATCATTCAAAGGTTTTGTTCCGAAAATGGTATGATAAGTTTCTGAAAACCATAAGCTTTGAAAAATTTTACAAATCCAAAAACATAGCCAAGAAGCAAGAAAAGCAACGTAATTTAACTATATGAATTCCATTCCCTTAGCTTTTACTTTCAAACTTACATATACATCTGTATGCATTCTGGTTTAAAATATATATTTTTTAACTACCTTACATAAGGTACTAAAAAGCACTATACTTTTTCCTGTATATGCTTGGAATACCATACACATAGAGAACGTTCTTATGATATTTAAAAAAAAACCTCCAAAACTGGCAAAAATATATACATCTGAGTGAATAATAGTTCAACCTTCAGAGTCTGAGATATCTATAAATTAAAAAAAACCCTTTTCTTTCCAACACTTTTTAGCCCACAGACACCTGACAAATGGTTGCTGTAAATCCCCTTTCTTCTGAGATTTAAGACACTTACTCTCAAAATACAATTATCCTGCCTCTGATAAAAATCGTGAAATTTCATTGATCGAGAACAATACTGCATGAAACAATGTTATGCTGTCTACCCACCTCACATTGCTAATGTACCCCCTCCGCGTGACCTACCCACCATATATTAAAAATTTACCAACCACACATCATCAATATACTGCTTTCACGTGACCCGTATGGAGCCTCATAACTGACGTTCACAATGCGTCTGACGCAAAGAATGGATACAGAACGTCTTGCTTGGACGCTCAGTGAAAGTGGTTTATCGAATATCGATACTATAAATATTTAGTTCTTTTAGAGAACCATCGGCAGGATAAATTCGTTATGTAGACACTTTGAGGGGTAATACGGAATATACTTTATATACTAAAGACTTATATATACATTACATAAAAATGGGAAGCAACTGTCGTCAATTCAGTGCATAAATAATGGACTAACAATTAATATGAAAAACGTCAGTCAGTATTTCACTCAATGAAAAATTGTATTTGCTGACAAGGTCATTGTATCGACCAGAGAACTTAACGAAATGATGACTTTAAACGAGACTGATGATATTCTTGCTTCATCAACTTGCTTGTCAATAATTTACCTCGTTTTATAAATTGTTCATACGTAGAGCATGCTCTTGCGTATCGAATCAACTGAGATTTATAAACTCCGTATGCAGGTGATGAAGGTGTATATTGCTGCATATGTAAGGGAAGTTGATGATAGAAAAGTTAAAGTCATCAAGTTTATCATATAGCTTGGTTGTTAAATTACCATTAACGTCTTTCTCAAGTAAAATATCCAAGTATGAAACAGATGTGTCAGACTCTGTAGTATCTTTTATCTCAAACTAACCAAATATATCGTATCGATGTAGGAATGGAAATTGCCATAGTTAAGACAGCATGGCTTTTGTTCACACTCGCAAACGACAAGACATTTTACAGGTTTTGAGCTAACTAATTTTTCTTTCCTTTGTGTCATAGGTCAGAGGCAATTTAATTTCGTACTTATTTTTACAAATTAAATCATCCCTATTTTTTATGAGAAGTTTGAAACTTCATTAATAGAAAACCAAATATTATCCTAAGATTTAATTTTCCTTTGTATCATAGGTCAGAAGCAATTTTATTTCGTATTTATTTTTACAAATTACCCCGCCCATTATCCCTTTTTTTCATGAGAAGTTTGAAACTTCATTAATAGAAAAAACAAGTATTATTATAAGATTTAATTTTCTACGATAGCGCCCTTTTTCGCACCCGTTGTAAAAGTACGGATCAAAAACGTTAAACTTTTGAAAAATAAAAATTTATTTTTAGTTTTTCAAATAAAATCAGAGATTTATAATTAATTAATTATGGAAAAATTTCTAACACCAGCGAGAAAATAACCTTTTTTAAAATTGACAACTATGGAAACTTACTGTAGAAAATGTAATAAACGATTATCTTTGCTCTACATGTAATAGACTTAGAACATTTTAATAGATATTTTTTTCCTTTAATGGGTATAAAACGGTTTGTATTATTAATATAAGGTATTGTAAAGCTTTGATTTCGTTACTTAAGCTTAAAAGCATTCAAAAATTAACACTTCAGAGCATAAGGCTGCTTGATATTACCCGTATACATTCGCCTAACAAAAATATTCCTACCAAAACGAATGTTTTTGTATCAAAAAAATGACAAGGGGTCATTATTCTACGGGGTCATTTTTCTACAATGTACACGGAGAAAAACGACCCCAAGGCCATAATTTCTACAGAAAAGTGGGTCATTTTTTTTACGTAGAATATTGACCAGGGGGTCAAATTTCTACGTAGAAAAATGACCCCGGTCAATATTCTACGGGGGTCACTTTTCGTCGTTACACCGGATGGCATTAACACCGTAACCATTTAGTTTGAGTGAAATATTCCTTCAAAATTGACATTAGGGATAAATAAGTTGAAGCAGTATGAAACCATTTATTCTTTGTCAGCATGACTGTCCAATCATTTTTTCGTTGCATAGAAAAGGTGTCGAGTATTGCTTATATATAGAAATTGTCACTACATGTATCAATATTTATGGTTGCCTTCGAGCACTATGTGTACAATGAAATGTTCTGGTGGGTATCTTATCGAATAATGAAGCAGAGTGAAAATCCTGCTATTCACAACCCCATGTCCATTAAATAAATCTTCACCCCCCTCCCCCCAAAAACTAATATTTTCTGCTAATGAGTAATATTGGCCTTGAAAACATATTTTTTACGAGAATAATCTGTGTGTTACCCTCAATAGCTGTACGTATTTGCTTAGCAGAATAGTTTCTCAGTGCATTAGGTGTACATTGAGATCTATGTATATACAGTTAAAAAGAAATGACTCAGAAATAGTATATGCGTTGCTTACCGCATATACATGCCTTTGAGTCAGGATTTTTCTTTTTTCCTCTTCTAAAACATTATGTCCGAATTTTAAACGAGTAATAAAGATATTGGTATTTTCATGGAAGAAAAAATGTATTTTATATGCATTTCCGACGATTATCGAAGAACATAATCTGGATATATATACATGTATTCATTTATGCATGTTTAGATTACATATGTTAAACAAGTATTTACATATATATAATTGAAACCATCAATGAAAACATCGATTCTGTCAAAAGTTGAATCGACTTATAAGCAGAGCAAAAGCTAATTCCTCCCAAATAACCTTTTTTAAACATGTTAAATGACTTATAGATGTTATAGGTAGGTATATATGGTATATGTCTGACTGTTTCTTCATAAAGCGTTGGTTGATAACCCTCCGTATATGAGAGATTTCTGCACGTTAAATACTCAAAGCTCGAATTTGATGACGCATATGAAAACTGAAACTCAGGAATCGAACTGTACATACTTTTCATCTCAGCTAGATAATTCATCTAATAATTGCGCCAGAATCGACATAATATACATGCATATCTAAATATATCTCTAGGTACATTTACTGTGTAAGATATTTAAAGATCATACTAGTAATAGATATGTTATTAAAGAAATTAAAAAAGAAACATAACAGATGATAGACTTAAATTGCAATGCAAATAATAAAACGTTTATGATTTTTAAAAATTAATTTTACGAAAAAAATCTGAACCTCCATTTCGTTATCAGAATCCAATCAGCGTTGATTATTGCGGAAGTAAATACACCAATTTTATCTGCAACGCGTGCATATTGTTTTCCAGTTCTTGACCTTCAGTTTACAGATAGGCAAACAGAGGTGAGCAAACTGTAAGGTAATTATCTACTTTTGATAATTTTCTTATAGTAATAATCAGTACTCTTTTATATGTAATCAGACACATTATAAACGTCATAAATTAAAAATTTCATTTAATTGAAAATGACTGCTACATTTGTTCTGCAAACACAAGTATCTTATCGATTACTTTCCTCTGTTCCTCTGCCAAGATTGAAAAGAAAATTACATATTAAAATGAACCGAAAGTAGAAAATAAAAATGTATAATACTTTCAAAATATTACCTTATTTCCATGAAGCTAATCAAGTTTTCCTATTCATCAGGAGTAAAATGTTCTCTTAATTGATTCCTTCCAATTTCAAATATGTAAAAGCTAGACAAGAAAAGCTTAATTTTCCTCATCGCTTGCGTTGTTTACAAAAGGCTAAAAAAAAAGATAACTGGTACAATGACGCAGACTTCCGTTATTAAGTGGAACATGAAATTCAAATGCAAATAAAATATATCGAATTTTCTTTTATTCTTATGTTTCAACATCTACTTATTTCATTCACGTTAAGAAAATTATTTGAAGGATAGGAAGGGCAAAAGATATGGAATGCAAAAAATCCATTCCTGTGAACATCTAGTACTTAATTTCTAATTAGAGTGGTCATGAATATAGCAATCCTTTTTCATTTAGCCCGCCCCCCCCCTTTATTTCATCAAGAGACTCAAAGCTAAATTTAATTTGTTAAACAGCAGAAAAATCTTAGAATCTGTAAAACATGTGGAAATCTTATTCATGATTCATATCGAAACGAATACATCATCATCACACCCATCCTCCCGCAGAAAAAAAAATCATGTATATTGCCGATGTTATACTTCACTTTGTGAAGTAATAGAACTGTGAATGCAGATTTATGTCAATTTCTATAGTGAAAATAAAACCAGACAACTCATAAGGACGGAAATATCAGTAACCGTGCATGGTATCATTTCCTATTAGTTGATGTTTTAAATGGTACAACTCTTTAGACATATCCTAAAGTACATTTAGGCATTTTCGAGATATCTTTTTTGACCTACTTGAAATTTATTTTTTTTTGTTTTGAGATTATGTTAGACACAAGTTTGCAAGTTTTTAATTAAGAAAAAAAAATAAGCTTCATTATTAAGTCGAAGCTCACAAAAATATGATCTCCTATCATACTATTGTTAGAGAATTTGTAATATTTATTCAGACATCATGTGGCCCTGACATACATATGCATAATGTAAGAGAGAAGTATGAAGTATTTCGGATTATATTAAGTGCAAACCATTACACTAGATCTTTTTTTTTATGTCCATCGCATTATAATCCTGTAAATGCTTGTATACAGATACAGTGTCACAATTATTAAGAAAAGAATTCAGAACATTTCACAATTAATGACTCTTAATAACATGTAACAATATACAATTATTGCATGATAGTGAGGGAGACATGAAGATTTCTTCGCCCATGAAAAATCATATTCCAAGAGGGCAACGCCCGAGGGGAATATGATTTTTCATGGGCGAAGAAATCTTCATGTCTCCTGAACATTCATGCAATAATTATTTTATTATACCGAATCAAGCACAATGCAGAAAATGTAAAGAGAATCCAATAAATAAAGTAAACATTTGATGAGAACAAAATGAAATATTAATAGGTATAAGTCACACCACTAGCGTTTCATTAAAAAAAACCCAAAACTTCGAGACAAGTCATTCCGATTTACACACTTTTAACATTCATTCCCCACTCATGGATACACTTTTCTAACTATTTACATGTAAAAATTTATATCGACATAATTAATCAAAGATTTAAACAATCGAATTCAGGATTAATCATCGCATTCGTGACGTCACAATCGGGAAACACGATGTGAAACACGTTCTGCACACCTCGGCTGATTACATCTAGATGTAGGATACTGTAGTCAGCCGAGGTGAACCGAATGCGTGAAACAAGTTTTGTTGCAGGGCGAACGCGACGGTCATGTGACTGCCTCAGCCAATCAGATTCTTCTTTCCTTGTGATTATTCATATGAGGTATAATAATATTAAAATACTTTTTAGTCTATTTATTTAACAATTGTTTTTCTTGTTATGTCAATGTCTCTCAGTGGGGACAAACTGCTTTTAAGTATGAGAAACGACATTAATCGCAATCAACGAACCATTCTAAAGATCACATAACTAGGTGGAAATTGCACATTTAATAGCCTCGTGAGTTTTGACGAGGTAGTATGTTTTTATACAGTTCAAAATTGTAAAAAAGAATTGTTAACATTGCATCTTTTCTCGTATAAATAATGCACTTTCATCGGATAATTTGCTCAGGCCTGGAGTATGTTGGTGTCACTATCATAACTAGCATATAATCTATTGGTTTATAGATTCACTGATATGCACAATGGTGTGACCTTTTATAATCAACGTACTGAAAGTACTGGGAAGTGCTAAGCATATTGATTTGAAATTCATCAGAATTATTTTGAATTTAAATCATTCGTCTTATTTATATTTATTCAATATGTCGATAATTTTCTTTGTTAGTCACAAGATTAAAAAATGAACAAGGTATAAATCAAAAGTAGAGAAATGAAATGCATACTGTATAAAGGGAAAATTTCGCCCCCGTTTTATTTTCGCCCCTTTCGCCCTCTCCTTGATTGGGCGAATTTAAAACGGGGCGAATTCAAATTACACCTCATAATTTCTTAAACAGAACAATGAATGGGCGAATTTAAAACAGGGCAAAATTGTTCACAAGTTTAAAAGGGCGAAAATAACACGGGGCGAAAATTTCCCTGTATACAGTATTTTTTTTTTTAAATTACCTTCCTTGTAGGAAATTAATCAAATTCAAAATCCATCGTTTTATAGTTCTTATGTAGAAGAGATCAAAGGTATTGATCGAATCTATCACGCATTATGTGTACACTGTTAATGCCTGCTTAGCAAAAAAAAAATATTAGCGCAAACTTCCTGTTTAAAGTGGAACTTGCAATTTGTTCTTTCCCGTTTGGCGAAAAGCACGTTTGTATTAGGTGTATGTCGCACCGTATCTTTGGTTTTTAATCTCTAGTCCTTTTTTTTAAATTCCCAACAAAAATGTGATTTTTTGAAATCATCGAATGGAAAGTACAAAAATAAGATGCAAAATCATTCATAATAAATATACAGAGAAAATCATCAGTAGATCCACATTACAAATAGCAGATAATCATCGCAAAATGAAAACTTTAAGTTGCATTATTAATTGTTATTAAAAATTAAATGATAACATTGGCCAATGGTTTAATCAACACAGATATGTATGATTATAAAAAAGGCAATAGTATGCGACAAAATTTTTTTTTAATAAACTATAAATTAAAAAAAAACAAGATGTGTTTGTGAAACACTGATGTCTCCGTATGACAACATAGCGACTGTTAAGCTTTCTCAAATGCAGATCAAATATGTTGGTACCAAAGTAAGGCCTTTTCACAAAAAATGCGAAATGTAAACACTAGCTACACCTGTTCCAGGGTTATGATCAAAGTAAATATTTTATATGATAGGAACTCTAGGTCAAGGTCAAAGGGTCAAGGGTGTTGTTTTCTAAAGAAAGGCCTTGTCTCAAGGATTACGTACGGGAAGTATGAATGCACTGGCCCTTACCGTTCAAAAGTTATGACCAAGATTAAAGTTTGTAAAAAGTAGGTCAAACTCTAAGGTCAAGGTCCAAGGGTTAAGGTTCTATCCAATGAAAGGTGTTGTCACAAGAATTACACATGTGAAATATGAAAGCTATAACCCGAACTGTTCAGAAGTTATGGTCAAAGTTAAAGTTTGTAAAAAAAAAAAGTAGATCAAACACCAAGGTCAAGACCAATGGTCAAGGTTCTTGATATCAAATGAAAGGTCTTGTCACAAGGAGAATTGAACCTGTGAAGAATGAATGCCCTTGTCCTAACCCTTCAAAAATTATTGTCAATGTTGTATTTTTAAAGTAGGTCAAACTCCAAGGTCAAGGTCAAATGGGTCAAGGTTCTTGGTATCTAATAGAAGGTCGTTTCATCAGTATTATATATGTGAAATATGAAAGCCCTAGTACTTATTGTTCAAAAGTTATAGCCAAGGTTAAAGTTTTTTTATAGATACAGAAATCTCCAAGGTCAAGGTCAAAGGGTCAAGGTTGTTGGTATCCAATGAAAGGTATTTAAACAAAAATTAGATTAAGAAGTATAAATGTCCTCGTATCTACTGTTCAAAAGATATGGTCGAAGTAAAAGTTTAAAATTTTCATGTAAAAATGGGTCAAACTCCAAAGTCAAGGTCAAATTTGGTGGTACCCCCAAAAAGGTCTTTTCTTAAGAAATACACAAGTGAAATATGAATGTCATAGCTCCACTGAATCAAAATTTATGGACAAGGTTAAAGTTTTTGCGGACAAGCAGACAAACAGAGAGACAGACAGACAGACAGACGGACACGACAAAAACTATATACCCCCGAAACATCGTTTACGGAAGCATAAAAATGTGCAACTCTTTACCATATTAAGATGTCTTCCTTTAACAGTAAAATATTTTCAACTTTTGGAAAATGAGCAATAAAATATCAACGGAAGTATCAATTTAACATGAAATATGCCACCAGATTTAGCTCTACATTTAAAAGTAAACATCATCGCTACATTTGCTCTCTCGTTTTAATTAATTACTGTATAAACAATGACTACTTAACACCTGTTCGATAGTGAGGAGGTTATTTAAAGAGGGTCCATAAAGTTCTTGGACAATATTGACAAGCACTGACAAAAGTTGATAAACTATATGAAAATCTAATTCAGGGATTTCATGTCTCATTTTATTAATCGTATGTAGGTTAAAACAGAAACAGGGCACAGGTACATGTACTTAAGTTATATTTACATCAGATACAAAAAAGACATACCCGGATCACTAAAACGGAAGTCCTTAACGTTATTCAACGTCAAAAGCTTACTACATGTATATGAAGCATGTGGATTTAACGAACAGTATTCAATTTCTATAAATCAATTCAAAATAGAAGCAGAACAAACCCAGACCTCCAAAAAATTAGAGGTGGGATCAGGTGTCATGGACATGTATCGCAGTATAGTCACCGTTTAACTCAATACAGTTCTTATGTACTTTAACCAGACATCGAAATTTTCAGATTTTATACAAAAGGTCAGACGACACTTTTCCCAAATATATATCCTGTTTCTCTTGGTATTATATTAAAAATTATTTATATTTGCCATTCTCTTCTGCTTTCTAAATTGTTTTCAAAATGTTTTAGACATAAGTTCACCCATAATTGTGATAAAAGTCATTCAAGAGATTATCCATTAGGGTTAAATAAGAAATATGACTCTTGTCAAGATGTCTGGTAAGGTACCTTATTTTTTGTGATAAAACATATTCAAGTAACATTATTTCAATGAAAAATTCTTAGCAAAAATTATATATTTTTTTAGGAACGTGTCGTCTGACCTTAACAATGACCTAGATCTTGAAATTATTAAACCTCTAAAAACGACTAAATAACGGAGAATACGGCAAAAGCATATGTTACGAAATTTATTTTTCTGATGACTACAATCTCGAATGATAATCTTTCTTCTGGCATGCCATCCTGTAAACTGTTTCTTTCGTCCGTTAATCTTATGTGCCTCGATTTCTCAACCATTTTGAAACTTCCAAATTTTAATTAGTTTTAATTTAGCGGTGCTCCTGGTTACAATTCTATGTATAATAATGAATCAATAAATGTAATCATACATTTCAAATTAAATGTAATTTTACATATAATGTAATTCACATAAAGTAAAGAATCACATGTATCAAGAGTTTTAAATTAATATGCTTTAAAGGAAGGTCTATGACACAACCCAGTGTAAAGTCTAGCTTGTCCACGAACTTTACGGACAGCGTTTGCCTGTTCTAAAATTTAGAAATTAAAGCGCATTTTCTTGTAAGATCTGTTCTGTTAGATTTACAAATCCTTATAACTGAATGAAATAAAAATATTGTTATTTTTTCGGATATGTATCCATTATTTTCTGTCTTAAAATGTCCAAACTACAGGTCCAAGAGTGGGGGTTAGGTGATGTATCAACATTGAATCCAACATATAATACCAGTATCTGATTTATATATCTTCTAATTAAACACCTGTTCAGAATATTCTATGAAATATTATTTGTGACTATGTATTTAGATATAAAGCACCGTATGTAATGCTGAATGATTTACAATTATTATATTATTATAATAGAGAGAACTTAGTTTGGGCCCCTTTCATAGTAGCTGCACCATATATGTAATATATGAACAATGATACGAGCAATAAAAATTATTTATTCTGGATGAACTGTTCCTATATCATTTATATTTATTTCCATCCATGGTCTTGTACGACTTAAAAGATCCGAATCTAAAGATTAACAGTGTTGTTGTTTTTTTAGTGCTTTTATACACGCATACAGGTATATATATCTTCTTTATCAATTTTACATACGTAGTTTATTCTATTCTAATTTTATATATACATTTAGATAAGTACATAATACATTTCTTGTTGTACGTCGTAAACTTTTCACACTCTTCACAAGAACCACTGAATCACTATTAACCAAACTTAAATTGTTAAAATATTGGACTAAGTTCCCTTCCCTCTACTCAACACAGATCCAGGAAACCTGAAACTTATTGGAAGCATCCTGGGGGTAGTGTAGATGCTACATTGTTCAAATCATTACACTTCGGTGGTAGAGCGGGGCCAAAATAAGGAATTCAAGTTTTACATTAAATCATATATTAGGTGAAATAATTACACACTTTTCTCTCAAGAAACACTGACTAGAAAAACTGAAACTTATGTGGAAGCATCCTTGAGTACGTGTAGATTCTAATTTTTTTCAAATCATGACCCTTAACGTAGGATGGAGTCATAAAAGGTATAACAAGGGGAAATATGGTAAAAATTGGCATCCAAAGTTTTTCAAGAGAGCGATATGGCCCATGGACATCTTATTTTTCTTTGAATTATTTAATCTATCAGAAAAGTATAGGACATTAGAAATATTTATTTCTACATATAAAATTCATATCTTTATTGTGAGGTCTTTGTTGTTACGTGAACATGATGAAAAAAAGTATTGTTTACACAAACGCTTTAATTTTCATCTTCTTGGCAGAAATCACTTTTAAACAGTTTACAGGTCTGTGTAGTGGTTATTCAAACTTCAAAAGCAAATTTCTTTGCGATGAAAAAAGGAAAATATAGGGTTTTTCTTTTGCTAAAGACCTCTTAAGAAAATAAAACCAAATGCTTCAATAGTTTTTTTAATGATATACCGTATACTGCATTACTTATTGAACGACCTTCGCATGTATTAGTATGGGCTATGCAGGTTGGAAAAAAATTCATTTAGGATATTTCTGAATACATATCATATTGATATAATTCAAATGAATGTGTACATACATATTTGCTTCTACTGTTATGGTTCCCCTGTGTATCATTTATTTGTTAATTCATGCGAGAAGGACGTAAACAGAATAAGAGATTATCATCTTTAAAGAGGTTAAGCTACTTTTGAAAATGGCATGCCTTTTAATTCAGGTCAAGCTATCAGCGGAAATTTCTGTCATTTTACCATTTATCATTTCCTGTCATACAAAATTTTAGAATTAAAAAAAATTACAAAACAAATTTATCTGCAACTAAGTAAATGATATCTTATGCTTTTGAAATGATTGGTTTTTTTTATTTTACCGCACTTTGTGACTAGTATTCATAGCTCAATTATTTTCTTGAATCCTAGCTTATTTAACGTCAACATCTAGAAATTGAGTTTAGACCACAAGCACTTGATTCTGTGATAACTATTTTAACCAATATAGTATGATTATAAAACAAGGTACCCAACACCAAAAAGCAAAACTCATACAATTTTACTTAATCTGAACTTTGAAAATGTTAACGATATAAATGAAAAAGCAATAGATATACTTAAATTCCATGGATTACGCACACATATATATATATATATATATATTTGGTATCCATGTGATATGCTTTTCAAAAACTAAATTATCACTTACGATGTGTTATTTTTGTATTCTTTTTATATCAAATCATATCAGGTAGTGTTTTGACCCATAGAAGTACAATGGGACTTTTTTGGTCTTCCACAAATACGAATTGTAGTGGTAAGTGGTTAATTTTTTTTACATTTGGTGTAATATTGCTCCTTAACACTATGATCACTGATTAGTACTCATATTGATTCACTGAATTAGCTTACATAAGCCAAATTAAGACTCAAGTGACATTTTTCTTCATCGTTTTCAAATTAACTATCACTGTAATCGTTTACTTTTCACGTATATTCACATGCTTCTCGAGAAACATTTCAAACAACGCAAGGGTAAAAAGAGGGCACTATGACGCCATAGAAGGTGAGATGACGTCAATTTTAGATAACAATATTGGTATTTAGAATTGAACTTTAACTCTAGTAAATGAAGACAAACGTATAAACATTAATATAAATAAAATGTGCTTATTATGTATGCTGTATCTTTGATATTTTGATTAAAAATTACCACCGTTGACGTCATAGGTGTAAGAGACATGTAAAGAGAATTTGGCTAAAATGGCATGTACAACATATGTAAAATGGGGTATAAAAGCAGATATCTTGAATATTATGCAGAATTCATACGGAGTTCAGTTAAATAAACAGGTATGCTAATTTATTTAAATCGATTATATTCTCTTTCGAAGAAAGTAAGCTATAAACGTATCCCTATCGGCCTTTCCTCGGTCAATCGTGACTAAAATAATGCAAAAGAACAACAATAAGCTGGATATTTCAAAACACAAGATTTGTACAAGAAGGATATGGAGATAACGAACAGTATTCAATATCAAAGTCCATAAAGCAATACAAAATAGGAGCAGAACAAACACGGACCTATGAAATATCAGAGGTGGGAGGTGCCATGGAGGAGTGAGCATCCCCTGCTGACCGGTTACATCGGTCACGTGCTCCTTGTCATGATCAGGATATAAGAGGAAAATCTGTCGTCAATTCAGGAACAAATAATGGACTAACAGTTAGTATGAAAAACGTCCGAGAGAATTTGACTAAATGATAAATTGTATTTGCTGACAATGTCATTGTATCGATCATAGTAAACGAGACTGCTGATATTCTTGTTCCATCAACTTGCCTGACAATAATTTACCTTGTTTTAGAAATTGTTCATACGTAGAGTATGCTCTTGCATATCGAATCAACTAAGATATATATATATACTCCGTATGCAGGTGATGAATGTATATTGCTGCATAAGTAAGGGAATTTGACGATAAAAAAAGTTAAAGTCATAAGTAAACGTTTGTCATATAGCTTGGTTGTTTTATTACCATTAATGTCTTGGAAAGTGTTGCTAAAATCTCGAGTTAAGCATGGATTTACGAAAAATTCGGTTCGTATGTATAAAATTCAAAATATCGGGTAAGGTTTCTTGAGAATGTATTGAATAATCATTTATTGATTAGACAGTGTGATTCTAGCAACACTGCATTATTTACTAAAAAAAATAATTACTTTTTACTGTAAATCATAAATGGCAAGTCACTCCTCTTTCAAGCGGAAAAGCTTCAGTCTCAAGTAAAATTTTAATATATTTTTCAGAACTCTTCTCAACACAATTGGGCTAGAAAATACAAAACATAAATCAAAGCTTCACTACATAGTGTTAATTCACCTGTAAAAATCTTATGTTTTGAAATGTACAGCTTATTGTTGATCTGTTGCATTATCTTTGTCACAAATGACAGAGGAAAGGCCGAGTTGGATACGTATATAGTTGACTGTCTTCGAAAGAGAATAAAATCGATGAAAATGTATCAGGATACCTGTTTAAGTAACTGAACTCCATATAAATTTTAAAAAAATATTCACGATATTTGCTTTTGAACTCCATTTTATATATCTTTCTACATGCCGTTCTAGCAAAATTCACTTAACACGACATAACCAATTCCAAAGTCATCGGTGGTAGATTTTAATCAAAATAAAAGACACAGCATACAAAATGATATTTTTTATTTCGGTTAATGTTTACACGTTTCTATTTATTTTCTAGAGTTAAATCTCTAAATACAAATATAACAAAAAGTTGTACTCTAAAATTGACGTCATATCACCTACAATGACGGCATAATGTAGCAATGATTTAGTGAAGATAGAATATTTTGAATGCTTCCTAATTAACCCTGCGTGAGAGTCGTTGCCTATAGGCCTCTTGTATGAAGTTTTCCAACAAGTGTTAATTGCATTAATCATTGTGTCTTGTTTAAAAGACAATATTTAAAGCATAAATATTGATCTTTCTCTGCATTCTAGTCAAGTCGTTCTGAACGAAAACCAACACGTACCTATATGTATTTTAGGCTAGAAAATTCACGTAAGTAATTGCATATCTCATTTTGAACCCCGCCGTTAACAATATTCAAGTTTGAAAGATTCGACCGAGGTTCTAATACAATATACAAAGTAAAGCTATAATCTAAATTATTACTTGCTTCATATCACACTGACAAAAAAGATTTAAAAATATACATATTGTGAATAATATGAAAATGTCGAAAGCATGGTCAACACTAATTCATGGAGTCGCCAAACCATCCTTCAAATGTTCCTGCTCACAAACAAACAAATAATCAAAAGGTGGATGAAGACCCAATTTCATTGTTTAAATTTCTTTTCATACATTATCATATTAGATTTAAGATTAAAGATTATAGATTAGCTAAAAATACATATAGGTACGTTTCTTAGGTTTTTGTTTAAAGTGAGGACAAAAAATTCAATTTGATAATAATGTTTAAAAATAAACTTTGTTTTTCTTTTGATGTAGTAGTTGTTTTAAAGGTTAAGACAGAAAATGTTGTAAAGATAGCTTATTTTGTTTGGGATGTATCATTTTGACGTTGCAATATTTTTCATAGAAATATTTTTAATACGTTCTTCGATTACTTGGAAGATATTTAAAATTTTTATGATTTAACTCTTTAATTACAATTGTCGGTTTAAAATTTTCAACGTATGTTTTATTTGTACTAAACTTGACTTTTAATACATCTGTGTAATATTTTTATAATGTTTAAGACGGATGATACAAACAAGCTTTTTTCACACCATTTGAAAAAAAAGAATCATGTAAATGTGCAATAATCAAATTTGTCCCTATGATTTTAATTTTAACATTAGTGTGATTTTATCTATGTGTCAATAACAGTTTTCATTGATAAGGGTGGTTATAGAAAATTAAACATTTGAACATCATAGAAGATTCAATATTAAAGGACTTTATTATTTACATGTACCTCAAAAATCAATTAAAACGTTTATCAATTCAGGCATTATTTATCTGTCCTTAAGTATCTTTGGGATCATCTGCAGAATAATAACCTAAGTTTACATTGGACAACGCCATGTTTATGGGAATTTTATCTTGCAAATCGTACATTTTTATTATTAGACAATGATTGCTTGTTTGATAACTATATACCGATGCATTTAACGAAGATTAAATTATTTTACAGGTATAAGTGTGGAATTAAGAACTGAAATAGAGAAGAAATACACAGGTATAGCTTTTTGGACAAAAACAAAAAAATTATAGTTGATTCACTTCTTTTGACACAATCCTTCCCTTTGCCCCATATAGTTGAGACTATTCAAAAATGAAAGTTTTGGCTTGAATTTTCTCAGATGTTACAATAAATGTTTTTTTAAAGAGTGGTGTTGTGGCAAATTCTAACGTATATGAAAATATGGAGTGAAAATAAGTGTATTCTTTCAGTAGCTGTAGATATGAAAAATCAAATCAATGTCAATCTTATGAAAATCTATAATCAAAACAAAAATATGAGCAGGGTAAAAAAAATTTCGGCCCTGGAAATACCCTATGTTGACATCCGCCCTGAGTCCTATGTACAGATGGAACATTCCGTTTTCAAACTAAGTATCAAAGGTATAACAAAAATGAAACGTCATCCAACATACATGTACAACTCGAGGAACTACATTCGTTTGGGCAGTTGCGAATTTTGACCAGTTCCGAAAAATTAGTAATTTAAGATCTGATAATCGATACATTCGAGGTGTAAAAAATAAATTGATACCTATGGTAAGAATGATTTTTTATGAGTGTTTGAATTATGCAAAGTTTTGATATTTTGCTGTCAGTTCGGTTTCGTTATCGTACTTGAAAGAGTAGACATACTTTTACAATGTAATAACTCTAAATCATCGCGACACATAAGTCTGAAGAAAAAAACCTCTGTAGTGACAACATTTTTCACATAAAACACCACTCCAAGTATCATCAATAAGTTTGATATATACTCTAACAAATACTCAAAACTTGTCTAAAATAAATACTTAGAACACGAAGAGATATTTTCGTGTTGTCATTTCACTAGTTCCGAATACCTATTTTTAACACTTTTATAAATTCATTCCCCGTTGGTTTCTTTATTGTAAACATGACTTATTATACCCCGCTTGAAAAGCAGGGGTGAGTTGTTAAAAGTGATTGAATGTTTGTCCAGCCATCCGTCTGTCTGATACGCTTTAGGGTACCAATTTCTTATTTACAACTTCTTTTCTACCACTTAATAAAATTTGATATAATGAGGCTTCACATAATCTAATGAGGCTTTCAAGAATTGCTGTTAAATAGTGACAAAGTACACCCTCTATTTTTTTTTTTTTTTTTGACCTGGCACATTATTTAGCCTCCCTTAGCATTACATGGATACTGCCATTTCTTCTAACATTGAAGGGTATTATACATATATATTCACAATTCTTCCATTCCAATGAATAAGATTTTATGGCACTTTCAAAGATTCTTTATTAAAATGTGCCATTAAAAATGTGACCTCTTATTTTACTTTTTGATCTGACACTTATTTCGGGCGACCCAGGGCAAAACATGGACTCTTGATAATAATATAGGATGTGTGGGGCTGGTGTCCTTAAAGTGAGTTTGCTTTTCACAGTACCCCTAATTTCTCTTTTTCCTTTGGAAATACAAATAACTTATTGGTAAGTAATAAGTTTAACTTTTCTTAGGCATGCCAATTGATAATGTCTGGCACATTTATATTTTAATATAGCGTTAAATTGAATGGTTAGCGCTTGGATATTCGGAATCCGCTCGCTTCTCCGTATCTGGTAAAATGGCTGCCTATGTTAACTTGCAAAATATCTTTTAGATGGGGGTGAACTGTTATGAACCAATATTAAATGCCAGAAGTCATTGAACTATCTTGACAAAAAACTTTCCTTTTAAAATAATGCCTCGCATATTTATAACACCGCTGAAATCCGATTCTTTTTCAAAACTGTCATATAACTGTATTACATTTTCCAACAAGGTCATGTTGATGACCATAGATTAACGAAATTCTGACTTAAAACGAGATTGTAGAAATCCCTATAACGTCAATTTACTAGCCATCAACCTGTGTCATTATTAAAAATACTTGAAACGTACTTGGGAATGCTTGCATGTGTCGAAATACATTTAGCTGTATATAGTCAGGAGATGTAAACGCAGTTTTTAGGTAATAGTGGGATATATTGCTACATAAATAAGGATAGTGGACGATAGAAAAACTGAACCTCATTTATAATAGAATTCAGTTGTTAGTTTTCCTTACTGGTCTATTTTCTGAACAAAATCTTATTATAAAACAAATGCGCCAGACCCTTGTGTCTTCTATTTAAATCCTATTTCAATTCCACCGAGATATACCTTATCGACTTATTAATAAATGTATAATCCGATAAAGTATCGCCAGTATTCAATGATTGTATGGAAAATAAACCTTGATTGTGCTCTCTTCTCTTACCAGTTGCATTGATAATAAGCCGGAATTTGAAAAGAAGCCTGTTTCGAATGTAAGCCCCTATACTCTTACCAAAACTTAAAATAAGCCGCGGCTTATTTTCAAGATTTTAGGGTATCTAAATTTCGAGATTAAGGGTACTTACCACAAACGAAAAAATGGATGCGCTGGTTGATATATATTTTTTGACTAATTTTGATTTGTAATGTCATAAATAATAAATCCCTGAAATATAAAGAAATCGTAGGTTTTCCTTGGTGCTTAGATTTTAGATTTTTTTTGCCTTCTATATAATTCCATACAAAATTTTGCACATTTTTTTAACTTTATGAAAAAAATCTTATAAAATTCTCCCACTCTACTTGTTAAACATTATTTCAGGTTTTCAATTTAAATGTAAATCTATGAGAAATAATGCTGATTTCTGAAAAAAAGTTTGTTTGTGTTGTGAAGTTATTGAATAAATTTGGCTTGATAGGAAAAGAATTTCTTCGTTATAAAGCAGCAAAATTAGTGCCGATCCGATTTTTTTAAAATTTGATGGAAAAACTGACCCCAACTCCAAAAACTTAGAAGAGACTTAAGTAAAATTTTGATTTTATATATCTTGTGATTTATAATGAAACTATCTCATATTAAAGAAGTGCGAACGTTAGTATTGTTCCCCGCCTGCCTCCAAGTCAATTTTCAAAAGTTAACATATACGATGAATTTCATATATTTTTAATTGATAGATATGGATTTTCATAAAACATTACTTATTTTGGAAAACAAAGAGAGATACCCAAACAAAAAAATCTATAGTAAACGATAGTGATAATTTTGACACTTTGGAAAAAAAATGAAAACTTTGATACTTGAAAAACTTTGCCGAGAACTTTGGCACTTTAAAAAAACTTTGGCGAAAACTTTGACAATTTGAAAAACTTTGGCGAAAACTTTGACAATTTGAAAAATTTTGGCGAAAACTTTGACACTTTGAAAAACTTGGTGAAAACTTTGACACTTTGAAAAACTTTATTGAAAATTTTTACACTTTAAAAAAACTTTGGCGAAAACTATTACACTTTGAAAATTTTTATTGAAAACTTTGAAAAACTTTTACACTTCCAAAAAATCTATTGAAAACTTTTAAACTTTGAAAAACTTTATCAAAAACTTTGCCACTTTCAAAAACCTGATCGTAAACTTTGACACTTTAAAAAAGCTTTATCAAAATCTTGACACTTTGAAAAATTTTAACGGAAACTTGGTCAGTTTGAAAAACTTTAGACACTTTGAAAAACTGAATCGAAAACGTTGACACTTTCAAAAACTTTGGCGATTATCTTCAGATTAGTATTATGTAAGTAAATCTGGTTCAAAAGTTATATTGACATTTTGACTTATACGTCTGATCTAAGTTAATGATCTTGGGGCCTGGTCTTCTTAGACTTCATAAATAAATATGATAGATAAATTTCGCTAATGAAGACCTTAAGCATCAAGCGCAGTGAAATTCAATGCATAACAGTTACAAAAATTATACAATTTTGCCTCACTTAATAGTGACAGTTTTCTGGTGAATAACACAACCAAACTCACCTCCGACAGAGTCGTATGAAATTAAATGAAAATGGAGTATTATGAACCCTTTTGTTTTTATAGACATCATGTATATAGTGACTTTTTAGGGAGCATATAAGATATAATATTCATTGCTATAAAGCTAAACAAAGCTTCATATATCTCCACATATCTTATTCATACTTCAAACTATTTTTCATTTGAATTTAATGTTTTTTGTCATTCATGAGAATCAATGTTGGGAATATACAATAAAAATGAAAGTTTCAGATGTGATATTTTAAACATTAACATTTCACTGATATATCTCATAAATGATATAAATGTATGTATCATTTTGTTTGCTACAGAAATATGGAGTGAGATTAACAGTTTAAAAGATGGAAGGAAAGGTAATTAAAGAGTCTGTAAGAATATAAATGTATAAGCAAAGTCTTAAAATGAATACATTTACAACTAATTGTATAATTCTTTTGATGTGTACTTTTAAAGGATAAGTGATTACGGCTGTTAGGAGCCGTATTTAATCATCATTTGGTCCAGTATGATTTTTCATAGAAGTGCTTTTTTAACCGCTTCTCTAGAAGAAATTAAAATTGTCTTTTCTCACATGTTCAAATGTTACTTTGGACCGGCAGTCCAAGGAAAAAAATAAATATGTAAATAAGATAAAACAAATATAAGATAAAAAAAATTATTAAACCCTTTTTACATTAACGTTTTATATTTTTTTATCTTAGTATCATGTTAGAATAAAAAAAACCGCATCGAAATGTGTGCAGAATTGAATATAGATGCCGCGCCTTTTAAAATATGACTTGTTTTTACCATTAGTGAAATCCCAGTTATGCCCAATCTAAAGAAATGTTTCTTTTTTTAAAGTGGGTCAAATTTCAAGTTCTCTTCAGTGGTTCAGTGAATGAACATAGATAGAAATGGCATAGTACTCATGTGTATTAATTGGGACAAGACGTTTCTTAATGTTCTATAGCTTTGAAACTTGCGACATTAAAGTGGCCTCAAAGTTTGATCCACTAAATTGAACTTGAAGTATGACCCACATTTAAGAAAAGTAATCATTACCGTATATACTCGCTTATAAGTTGGATTTTTGGGAGTTAATCTCTGGTCAAAAACTCTATGTCCGACTTATAGGCGAGCTATAAAATGAATGGTATTATATTAGGTCAGTCCTTCTGATATATAAACTTATTAAATACAACCGACTTATAGGCAGACCGACTTATAGGCAGACCGACTTATAGGCGAGTATATACGGTAATCTCTGGTCAAAAACTCTATGTCCGAATTATAGGCGAGCTGTAAAATGAATGGTATTATATGAGTTAGTCCTTCTGATATATAAGCTTATTTAATATAACCGACTTATAGGCGGACCGACTTATAGGCGAGTATATAAGGTACTTTAAATTGGACATATCTTTTGAATGAAAAAACGAAAGAGATTTCATTTTGTACATGTATATTACACGTACCTGTGACAAAACAGTCTTAAAAGACGAAGATTTTCTGACAACATGACATTAACATTAAAGTTTGATCTACTTATAAAAATAAATGTATCTTTGACTCGGTGATAAGTTCTTAATGAGAAGATATAGAACTCTCAATATCAATCATATGTATGACCTGTGACAAAACATTATTTCTCACCCCTTGACCTTGGTCTTTGATTTTGACCTTCTTTTGATAACAAATTACATTATTTAAGGGGGGACCTATGTCTTTTAACGTCAAAGTCTTTTAACTGTGACCTATATGCTACAAATCGCTTTTTGTCTGCAAACTATAAGTTTTTTTGAAATAACACCATTGTCAATGACCAAGTGACCTTGACTGTAACCTTTATGCTTAAAATAGCTTTTTCGAGCCTTTGCCATAACTTCTAAACTATAAGAGATAAAGACATATTTGGCGTGCATACTCTGCTAATCAAGTTCTTTCGAATGACATCAAGGTTAATGACCTTGTGACCTTGACTGTAACATGTGTGCTTAAAATGGCTTTTTAGAATTTTTTTCCGCCGAGCGCATTGTGTTTCACAAAGACATCTTGTTTTATTAATGAAGTTTGTTGATATAAGAAATCTCTTCCTTTGGTGGATAATCCATAGCAAATTCAGTTGTGAAAAAAATACCTCGATAATATGCTAATATATGTGTAAAAAGGTAGGATAAAAATAAAGACAACAAAGAAAGCGGCTTAAATCAGAAAAATATACTGAAAGGAAAAAGAAACGCAGGGTAGCATAATTTTTGATAAAAATTTGACCACATGACCTAAAATTACGAAAATTGGTCAGAATGGAAATTTAGTTACTGTGCATCAAAATCAGTATTCAGAATTACTCAACCGTACAATTTATGACGTCACGAAGGGAAAACGCTAAAAAGCACGAAACACGTGCAATTTGAAAACGACGAGTTTGTCAACAAATCTTGTTTCATTATTTGATGCATATGAGGTATGCACATCGTTTTTCAATATTAAGAGTCATTATGAATCTATTGCAATCTTGGCACAAATTACGGAAGTTCAATGGGGTCTTGTTTTCGAATTGCCTAATTAATGAAAAAGGCAACAATGGTTTACTTAACAGTCTCTTGTAAATTTTCCCCCATAAAACATTTTACCCGTTGTCAGAGAGGGTCTGGAGTGGTTTTCAATCAACCGTGACGATGACGTTAACGCAAAACAGAGCCATGTTACGAGCGGGTTACTCGACCTGTCATCTGTTAAATCGCCACCTTACTTCCACAAAAACAGCCATTTATAGAGTAGACGATTATAATCATTACATTCTTACGAAATTTGAAAGAAAACAATTCTGCAATTTGGTTTTTTTTGAGCCAGTCAACTTACTGGTGTATTCCTCTCACTGGCGCATGCGCGCGCCGTTTGACTTATTTTTTTGCATGGTTACCCATGCTAAATATAGCCAGGGTTTGAAAGATAAACATTCAGATGAAATTCCATGCAAAGGAGAAATAAGACTTAGACAGATGCACGAGATAGACATTGAAGATAATGAGAGTTTTCGATTTTCACTTTTGGGAGTATCATCATTTGAGCTTCAATAACTCATGAATAATTAGACAAAATCATATGAGACTTTGGTTATATCTTTTTGAAAGATGATTTTAAAAGTTAGATAGGAAAACTAAAAAGTATTTTAAGAAAAACAAATTTACTTCACCTCAAAAGTTTACCCTGCGTTTCTTTTTCCTTTCGGTATATATTTAATTTTATGTTTACCATTATTTTTTTTTCGATAAAACTTAAAAGAAAAATACTGTACTTGTAGCTACATTTGTTTATCGATTAGTAAATTTAGACTTAAACTGTATAAAGTCAGTCCTAGGTTAATTCCTAAAGGTATTGATTGTTGAAAGGGTAGAGCGGGGAAGGGGGGATTATAAAAAAAAAATTGAAAGAATCCTCTCATCGTATTTCTTTTCGAAAATAAAAGAAATATTTGAAATCAATTGAACTTTCTTAAACTTTGAGTTTTGCTCGTTTGATCTTGATGTTTGATCTAGTTTTAGAAAAATAAACATAAAATTAAAATATATTAGTATTTCCTATAATTTAGTTTTTGATTTCATGATTATTCAGATTCTTAAACTTTTTAATGTCTTTCAATCAAAGCAAATAAAAGGTAAACGGTTAATCTTATTTGTACTTTAAATACAGCACTCTAACAACTGGGGATAATGGTGTATTGGTACATAATTAGGAAATCTAGATCAGTGTATTCTCTGTGATTTACTTAAGGTAGAACCTATGTCGGAAAAGTCTTTTTCACAAGATTTTCAAACTTTTCAAATTGATAAATTAGCACTTGCTTATCAATCAGTTAAAGTCTCATGGTATGTTTTCTTGCTTTTTAATCTAGTACAGCCTGAGAAACTTGGAAGGGTAATTACATGCTGCAACTACACATTTTCAGTCTTCT